GGAAATGTTAATTTTTTATTGTTAGTTTTATAAATGGAGGATTCGATATTTTGAAATTTTATTTATATATCTGGGAATTTATGGAATTATTAATAATAAAATTCTTGTTTATATTACTACTGGGAAATACGGGATCGTTCAAGGAATTATTTATGCGAGTATCGTTAAAAATAGTTTTAATTGTACAATATACAAAGTTTGTACGAAAACTTGTGGTACACTCTGTATAAAACTTGGAGTGATAATAATGGTAAAAATTCATGGAAGCTGGTACTCGATTTAACAGTAAATCGAAATTATAGGATGAACGATTTTCCTATATGAAACTTAAATTCATATTTCCAGAAATTAGATTTCCAGAAAATCAATTGTCATTAAATCATGAATAACGCAATATTTCCTGGATCTGGGAAAATAGAAAAATCTGATTTCCGGGAAAACAGAACTTTATATCGGAAAATTTTGCTTCAGATTCCCGATTTGCTGTTCAAGAGATATTAGATTACATTTATTTTTATCGTCGTTATCACTGCACCATGCATTTCAGCCAGAATGCTCCTGTTGAACGATTTATTTGTGTGTGGATTCATTGAAACGAAAACTCGGCTTTATTTTTTGGTAGTTTTTTATTGCGAATCCTTTGAATAAGAAATTATTAAATTTCATATATATGCAATATGAAAATAAAACATAAACACATTGAAAATCTTCAGAATCGAATACTAAAAACATTGAAAATTAAGTATTCAAAGCTTTCAGAATGAAACATCGATAATCCCGAAGATTAATTATTCAAAGCATAAAAAATTGTTGAAAGTTAAGTATATTCTAAAATATGTCTAATATCTCAGTTCGATCGCTTAGCCGATTAATGTTGACACACTCGAACGACTCACGTGAGAGGTTGACTTTTCGTTTCGCCAAGAAAAATATGCTGACCCCGTAACATATCCCGAGCCACGCTTGCATGTTCCCTTTTATGCACTCCCAGGCTTATCCTGTGTTTGTGTTTTTCCATCAGGAAGCTTTAGGATCAGGAAAATCAAAGAAAAGCAAGGACAACGATTCTATCGAAAGCAGACATATCGGGACCAATGAACGTCCCGAGATATTGTTTTATTTATAAACTGTGAGAAATCGATGCATTGCTTATCGGTTCGTGCAGCGGATAGTAATGGAAATATTCTTGAATTTCAATTCAGATCAGACACCTCGTTAGCAGCATATGTATAGACTCGCCAGGGAAACCGGAAGACTTACACCAGCCAGTGGGTTTATATCCCTGTCACCGCCAGGGCGGCAATCAGGTACACGAGTTCGAAAATCGACCGAACGAAACGATCGAGTTAAACAGTTTTGGAATAATTGCGGGGCACGTGGTTCCATCTAATCACCTAATTCGACGCTAATTTCGGCATCTGACTGTTTGAACGGGATCCTTGATGGTGATGGGATATTTAAACCTCTACTTGCTTGTGATTTGGTACGACGGTACGATTACAATCTAATTTCGACGACAAAGGAATCGGAGAAGACGGTTTCAGATCCGGAGATAATTAACACGTGAATAATTTCTTCGGATTACCTATCCCGTTATTTAGTTATTCCCGAGATCGTCTCTTTTCTGTTGAATTTTAGCGTGCCTGGATAATTGAAGTGTTTAAAACGGTTGGATTCGAAATTCGCGATACTATAATGTCAACGAAACAATGCAATTAGGCGACTTAATTTAAAGATTATATTTAATTCAGTTTCCTACGTTTCTGTGAACACTCAGAAAATTGGAAAAATTCTCTTTTATACATCTTACGTTTAATTCTCTGATAATTTCAGTGACTCGAGAATATTTCTAAAATGTACAGTTACCATTTTCCATGGAATCGAGAATCTAATAGATAAAATTGAATAATGTATTTTATATAAAACTCGTGTTTACACCATGAATTTCTATTATACTCGTAAAATTCGGAATCTCTTTGAAACATTGCCGGATCAGCATAATCCCGGCGCGTTTTCCATCGCTGAGTGCCGGAGCGTTCGATTAAACGGCCAAAATAAACTGATCGAAAATTTCGAAACCACCTGAGTCGTGCTATAACGCGGGCCACTAAATTATTTCGCCGCAGTTACCTAACCGTTGTACACTCTGTTCAAACGATGAACAAGCCTCGGTAAGCGATCGTTTACGATAATCGCTCTGCCAGGGTACAAGTATCGTCCGGCGAAGGAGAAAAAGGGACCATTAACTGACGACACGTTTACCATTTAACTTGCACGCTAACTCGATGCTAAGCTCCGACCTATTTCGCTGCAATTAGTAACGCCGCTAATCTGGCGCAGCTGCTCATCAATCGTCCGCCCTTCTCTGTAGCGGTCCGATGACCTAAGTCAGGTTTCCCTAGCCGTCAACTATCTGCGGATTGTCGTCATTTTCAGTCCGGCTACGTCGCGGTGAATTAATCTTCGGTTCGCGTCGGGAGGCACGCTATTCTTACCGGGTTATTATGACTTGTGTTACTTCTAGCTGAATTTCAGCGGGAGAAATGGGTAACAATAGCGACATGGAAAACGATTCTTTTATGAGAATGTGTAGCTTCTTTTGCTATTCTTTTTGTGTCGTGAACGATTCTTGATTTATAATTTAGATGAAAATTTACCTGTCTTTCATACTTTGTTTTAACCCTTTGCACTCGAAAGGTGACTCTCACTCACCACTTGATTTTATACAGTAAAACTATAAAATTTGATACTTAATATTATACTTCGTATAATGCATCAGTTTGAGAAATATTGAAGTAAAATAGCATTGTTCTTCCATATACCTGTGACTTCTCTTCGAGTTAGTTTTACGAAGTATCGTCTTTATCTCATTAGAAAATGTTACGATGAAAATGTTAATGAAAAATGCCCGAGTTCAAAGGGTTAAGGGTATTTTATTTATTATTTAGACATTCTGTATGAAATTTTGTTTAACCCTTTGCGTTCGAGAGGTGACTCTCGGTCAGCACCAGATTTGACATAGTAATATTCTAGTCTTACGTATAACATTCTGCTGTGTATAATACATCGATACGTGAAATATTGAAATAAAATAGCTTTGTTTCCTAATTTATGTACATGTTCTCATTAGTTAGCTTCAAAGAATGTCGTTTGTATCTCACTGAAAATGTCGAATATTCCTAGTGCGAAACTTTCGACTGCAAAGGGTTAAGAAACATCCTCAATTTTGATTCTTATGGAACAGTTAGACTGAATTTTTAGGAAAATTGTTGGATTATTTTAGATTATATTTCTGAAGAATCTATGGTAACAGTGGAATATTAAAGCAGACGAATTTAATAAATGAATTTCATTGCTGTACGACAGTATGATATTTAAAGGGATATCATCCTCTCGCGCACAGACAGAATCACTGATGACCACTATAGCGGCTTTTAATGGTAGAAGGGTTAAATTCATTACAATGACATAGTTAACGTAGCCATTGATCGCTAGTTGGCCCACAGGCTTCAATAGACGAGCAAATCAATTTTCCAAGAGTTTCCCATGGGGTTTAATCTCCATCAATTCAGAGGCGTAAAGCTCAAAGTTACTAAATCGAGAGGTAATAATCTCAAATTGGAAACAATTACGCAAATATACATCTATTCACAATCTATTCATCGAAGGTTCAAATACTTCGATTAATAATTTACTATCAAATCAGTGTTCCAAAAATTCACAATGTAATTAATAATTAAATAATCCTTAAGGAATCGTTCATGAAATATGAGGATCGGAGCTTGCAGACGCTAGATCACGCGTAGAGCTATCTCCAAATGAAGAAGAATTAAGGAACGCAATTAAAATTGCCATCAATCACTAAGGGGATGAAATTCTGTGATTGATCGATCGCGAGCAAATCGGTTGCGCAATGATTCCCCCGCGGACTTATTCCTCGTTGAGCACGGTATTTAAAGCTCGAAGGTAGCAGATTAAGCGTCGGTAATTGTTAATTGAAAATAACGAGCGTGACACACTTAAAATCGAAATCGATCTCGAGGAGGCTTGACCGGCTCGATTGAGGGGTTGCAAACGGATCGATTTTCCAATGACTCGGCGTAGAACATTTTCCTCGTCTAACGCGGCTCTTATAATTTAACGATGATACATTCGGAGACAACGGCATGGCTGAAATTGCAATTGACATTTAAGGAGCCGAAGTGCTCCAATCGAGATATGAGAATCGAGTTGCGCGCTGGAGGATTCTTCATCGAATACATTCAGAGCTCGGTGAATGTTGGATATTTATAAATGGCTTTTGTAAATAATATTTATCAATTTCGAAATGTTAGATGGAATATAGGTACTTGAAATGTTGTAAATATTAAATTGTAAAAATACCGAAGTACAGAACTTCGTGCGGTTGATGGGAAAGAAATTACATTACGCACAGTGGTGATAATTAAGGATTGAAAATTGGGTGCTTTTGTTAATACGATTGAAATATTAGTGAAATGTATCACATACTTTCTATTGTCGATGTGTATTTTTTGTTGTAATCAGGATAGAAGTTTATGCATTTACAGCAATGATCATATGAATTGTATATTTTTATATTATTCTGTAGCTGATACTTTTTAAGAAGTTATCATGATCATATTCATAATCGTGCTTTTTGAAGCTTGAGAAGCTTTTGTGAAGACGAAGGTTGCACGTATCGTCGTCGGATGGCGCTACCATTCAGTTTCCTAAGTTCTCGCGATCTTCGTCGCTCAACCCTTCATAGTAATCGAAATAATATCACATTCCCAACAGTCAAACATTCAAGAAAAATATTCCCCATTTCAAATCTTCATTTCAACAAATGAAAAATGTTTCGTTTCAAAATCATGTTTGACTTTAAACAAAACCACTTACAATTTCAAATATTAACATTCCACTTAACACTATTATTCGCTCGATTCAAATTGCAATGAGTAAATTCACAAACATTGCTACCCGCGTTTTCTAAATCTTACAAATGCTAATAAACAAAGCGTCTTAAAATTCCAAAACACTGCAGAAATGTGTCATCACTTCAAATACCAATACAGAAAATTCATTTCACTTCCCTTTCGAGCAACATCAACTCGTACACATAGTATAGACAGCAAATGTATTACGAATATTTTTCAAACATTTGATCAATTAAAAATAGAACAAAAAAAGAATAAAAAACGATTGATTCTTGAAAAGAAGAATATTGAGAGAAAGAGTTCGTTAGATGCATCAGACCGTGTCGAACACTTGGGAACCGTTCGCCAGGATCGTGCACCCGTCTCGTCGTTAAAATCACGCGCACGAAGTCTGCGTCAACGACAACGAAACCGTGCGCGCGCGCCCACGGATCCGGGCATCGTCGTTTCGCACAAAAGCTCCGGAGCCGGCGTGGTTTAACAACCGTGACAACCAGTTACAACCAAAAACACAATCAGTCGGCGCTCGCTTCGGCCTCGTAAAGCGCCGCTTTAATTTAGCTATTTGCCCCAGCAATTAAGCCGCGGTTTCACGGTAATTAAGCGTTACCCGGCTTGACTGGGCTGCCTCTAATTGAGTCGCGACCACTTCTGTTTATTGATGACTTCGACGTGTTCGAATGATTGGGACAATACAATTCCGGATTGTTAACATTCTACCAGGACGGAATACTTATCTTATCGCCCGCTCCCTTCGTTCGGCCGCGTCCCGCTGATTGCTGATTACGTTTCGATCGACGATCAAGCAATTAGGCTGATGGTAATGTTATCTTACGCGCATAGAATTTGACTCAGAGTTAGTATTCGAGCGACTATTAATTGAATCGTATGGGTTAAATGATTTTAAATTATTTGTATTGATTTTTCATGCATAGAAATTACATTATCGAATTAGATGAAATGTCGTTTTTATGTGAAACGAATGGATTCATTGCTTTTACAAATTGGTGGTGTAATGTTAATTGAATCGGAATATTAGAAAATAAGAACGTATACTTTTACTTAAAAATAGTATCAGTTATTTTGAAAAATTTATGCAACGGTTTTTATTCCGCAGAAGATAATAGATTCGTTAATCAATATCATAAGAGACTGGACGTCCAATGTAAATTTTTATTTCATGGCTTAGTAAACATTTGATTGTATTTTGTATTTCTTTAGAAGTATGACACAAGCATAATTAATTATTGTCTTATTCAATTTTTTATGACACTGTGTAGTTACCAGTATTGAATACAAGATAATATCCTCAGCTAGCCACATATCATATATCATGATTAGAGCCAATCATCAGTTGCAATCACGCATACTGATTAAATCACTGATTGTTGTATTAGTCGATTATCGATACACAGGAATGGCAAATAATTGTTTGACGACGATCTAATGAAAAGTAGTTATCGGTAACCGAGTTAATAATTCAGTTAAATGAGCAGTGTCAATGGTGACCAACGTCTAACTGACATCGGGAACGTGATTCTGACAGGTTGGACAGATTGCTATTAGACCGAGCGATTACATTTCCGCGCCGTATGAGGTTTATCGCAGGCAATTATCGATAATTAGAAATCGGCTAATGTGACAATTTACTGACAAATAAACAGCCCTTCGATGAAAGTAGACGTGCTACCATTGCAACATCGAATGAATCATTGTTGCACTCGATATAGATTAATAGAATAAATTCTTCGTTTAACATTTAATTTAATTTAATTAAAATTACAATATTATAAGCAATACGAATAAAATTCTAAAAATAGATTATACGTAATATTCCCTATTTCTCGTTCTACTTTTCAAAGCTGAGAAAAAGAAAGTGATGTTTCATCTCGTAATAACGATGCATAATTAAAATCTGTATTCAATTACGTATAGGATTACATCATTAATAATAATACGAAGAGAATGGTAAAATTTCAACGTATATTCTTCTTTTCTTTCTATGTTTCAAGAGTAAAAAGTGGATAAAAATATTTTCTGTTAATTTTTATATTTCGTCCATTTCGGTTTCATATATTTAATGGTCTCTCGATGTAACGATAATTACAGTTTGATTATTATAAAAACGGCGGACGATAATCTCGGGGGATTGAAAAAATGGTCTCGTCAAGTATCTGCATTAAAAAAGTTGCAAATTGCTTTTTGATGACCTGATATTGCTTCCAAGCAAAAACTAACTGAAGCTATTAGTTTTCTTCTGAAACAGTAACCCTTGCCTACACCTAATATATTCATGATATAAATCCTCGCTTCTCATGATACTAATCCTGCTGCTTTTAAGCACAACGTTGCATGATACGGCTGATGTGATGTGTTATCATTTTAAATGGTTCTGACAGTATCACATATATTTGGTGTACGTGTATAAAGACACAGGGTATTATTTACATAATTTTAACTAAACGATTTTCATAATCAGAAAACTTTTATTACTCTTATTTTTACGAATACTTTAATTTAACTTCAATTTATGCTTAACAAGGTATATTTCATTGGTATTCTGTTTTTAACTGAAATATACTTTTTAACTCTACAAACATAAATGTTTACTGCTAAAACAAAATCCCTGTTAAATAAAATTTCCCTCCTAAATATAAAGAAAAGTCGAAAGTTCGGAATTCTCGAAGTCCCGTTAATACTTCCAGTTTCCATTATCAGCCTCCGTTCGAGCGAATTTTATATTCATCTATTATACGCATAATATTAATTTATAAGGAGAGAAATTCAGCTGACAATTACCGTTTTTACTTCAGTTGTGAAGTTTCATAATTTCGCTACGCTAGCGAACTATCCCAAAGAAAAAGGAACGCTTGAACGGTGCAGGGAAAGTCGACAAATTTTTCTCGACTCGCGCCTAACAACTTCTTTTATGAGACTCATAAATGTCGAAAGTATTAACTATCCATTACCGGCAAACTTAAATGTAGAACATTGTCCCAGTAATTACCAACGACGAAGCATCCCTTGGTTTTCATGAAAAAAGTTGGACAACATTCATCAATTACCATGGAACAATGAATAATAGATGTAGAATGATAATGAATGTTCACTGGAAGAAGTTAACTTCAATCAGGAAACCCATCCTTTCCATAACCGTTCAATTTTTCAAATTTCCATTTGTTAATGAAGAACGTCATTTTAATTCGAAAAGAATTTCATTATACGTTGCATTTCGAACACGTTTCAAATTCCACAGTAATTAATGAGGATTCCGTACTTCAATGAAAACTCAAATAATAATAAACAACTTCAATCATTTATCATCAATTTATTAACGATATACAATCTGAAAAAAAAAATTCAATATTGCACCTTCGTGGTAAAACAATTTCATATGGACTTCGTGGGGAATTCTTTTTTATGAGACTCAAATGGAATTTCATTCATCAATGCTGGGAATACTGGAAAAATTTGGCAGCTCGATATTTCCGACAAATTTGGTAGGAAAGAGATTCCAGGCGTATCCTTTCGCCAGCAGTTCTTTGAATGCATGCACCTGTACACGACTGTCAGAACCATCGGTCATAGGCAAACGTTGGAGGTCAAAATCCATGGCCATTAATCTTGATCGTTTGTCACAGTACTGGATGTTGAGCAAGACCGGTGAGATCCGTCGAGACGAGTCGTGCTTGGATTACAGCGGCACTGATGTCATCCTCTATCCTTGTCACGGTAGCAAGGGGAATCAACAATGGATATATAATCCTCAGGTACGCTATCATCAAGTTTACGTGAAGTGTTACTGTCAGCTTTTAACACTAAAACCGCCAGCTGAGTCAAAATCACCTATTCCTGATTTCTTCTTTTTACAATTATTAACCCTTTGAATTTCTTTTGCATTTCATCCTCGATAACTCTGTATTATTATTTGAAATGTATTTCAGAAGATAGATGGGTTGTAAAGAGCAGTATAAACGATTGTTTTTACTGATAATATTGACAATAATGTAGTAATATAATCTACTTTAAAAATATCTTGACAAAGAAACGCACTTGTAAATAAAACTGGTAGATGCCTTCTAAGAGTTTCTATAGAGGAATTTCAAATAGTCAATTTCATTGCTCGGTAGTTTTATTATTATTGACATTGTCCGGGTCTCGTTCATTTTGTTGCAATGTTATTACGAATATTTCGATGAATTCATAGTTTCATATAATAATTTATTAAATTATACTGATTAAATGTTTAACTAATAAAGATGAAAATGGATTTTGTAGATTATTTTGCAGATTGAGAACATAATTTCTTATGTTTACTGTTATAGAATTTGTTAACATTGAAGCTTTAGGAAATGTATTGTGTTTGGAAACATTTTGAGTTCATTGTTAAATTTGATTAATATTTAACAATTTTGTCCGTTAACAATTATTCGAAATTAGTATGAATAATTAAATGATCATTATCGAAGCTTCAAATCCCGTTTCTGTTTTGATTATAAATGCATCAAAGCTGCGGTGTATGCTATGAACTTGTGAGATATGAGAATTTAATAATATTAGCGTCGCGTTAATATACAAGGGGCGTTCTCATTTCTGAATATCACTGGTCGGTCTTGTTTAGTGGCTGTTTCCTACACCCTTATCCTGAGCCCTTACTCAAGACAATTTGCACTAGGCTCTACCACTCGAACATTCCCTCCACGCACATATATCTTCTCCTGTGAAGACCTATTACCTTGGTATACTAATGGCGAAAGTTAGAAATAGCTCTAGCGCACTGAGGATATTAGAACAAAACGTTCGACCAAACCCCCATTAGCCTGATTTCTTTTTCAACGGATAACAAGGTTTCCAATCTGATTCATGGTTATAATAAAAATTTGAAATAAGTCATAATTTAGAAACCCTTCTCTGAATTCCAAAAAATATTCTCTTACATATCATCTCCATATTTATTTATTACAAATATACATTATTCAATTCAACACAGCATCGAGTTATCTAATATTAAGACATTGACGTTGAAGCAAAATATTATGTTTAACACTAGAATCATTAAATTAATCAAAACGATTCATAATTTATTTTTTCACAATCATTGAATCTTACAATAACAATATAAAGTTACTGCTCTTAGAAATCGGAGAGATCAATTGATCAATAAACAAACAATCAATAAATCATTAAAATATTATAAAACCTTAATTTCATTGCTCAGTAGCTCAAAATATTAATCGTATCTCACAAATCTCATCAGTATCCCTAATCTTCAACAAAATAAATCCTCCACAAACATGTTGAAACTTCTCTAAACGATGTCCTTCGTTTCCAGACGAAACAGATCAGACACGGCAGCAGCGACAAGTGTCTAGCGATCACGGAGAGCAAGCAGCGTCTAATAATGGAGGAGTGTTCGCCGACAGCTGCGAGGCAGAGGTGGTCCTTCGAGAACTATGATCCTTCGAAGCTGTGATATCGCGCCTTTTCACGTCGCCAGTCGAGGAACACCGGGCGGAAGTTCGATCGGTCCGGCGCGTGGCTGTCCGATCAGCGGTACTCCGTCGCGAAAACTCGTTTCGGTAGATAGATCCCGTGGTTTCGGGGCCGGGGTGCCTCGATCCTTCGTCGAATGGACGCTCGAGGTCGACTGCGAAGAGGAAAATGGCGCGGAGGTTCCGCGCGATCGAAGAATTAAAGGAAAACTCGCGGACTAGGCTTCGAGCGAACGAGAAGAAGAAAAAAACGGTGGGGGCGGGAGGGGTGGGGGACAAACGATCCAATCGCCGATCGTCGGATGTAATTCTACCTATGGACGAAGTGCAATAGATATATCGACTTAAAAAGGATAGAAGAGGAGGACTTTATCTTCGACGAAATTGTAACTGATGTACAATAAGTGGATAGAGTTTGAGAGCGATCGAGCTGGTCTGTGTTTGAGCAACGCTTTCGCTGGCATTGAGGATATTGAATAGGGATTTAGTATTAGCTTGTTGCAGAATGGATGATTTTCTTGGATCAAACGACGCAGACTCTTGGATGATGGGGATTAATGTTGAGTTTGATCGGGTTCGCTACGAGATCAGCGATGTACGATGGGTTATTGTTTGAAGGCAGTCGATGTTAAGATACTCAATGAATTTTATTTCCACTGTATTGTGTAGTTTTATCGTTTATAGAGTCTGTTTAGAATTGTAACTTCCAACTTGCTCATACGAACCTATGCAAACGCGTTTGAAGCAGTTTGAATGGACGTAACGGGTTATGGTATGTTTATTTAGATTCGTGAGGATTTTGATGTATCTTGGGATGGATAAACCTTGAATTATGGATCCTTAGATTTTGTAAGGAAAATTCATTTGTTTTGTTATATACAATGGAAAGTGTAATGTTGAATTGAACTGGTTTTCTTGAACTGTTATAGTTGAATAAGTAACTAAGTTTTAATAGATTATGAACCATCCTGCATTTATGCTATTATTAAGAAGTTTACCGAATAACAGACTCAACGCATGGATTTTCAATAAAAAAATGAGAAATTTTAGATACAAACGAGAAGGCTAAAACAATTTGAAATTCGTTCACTTTCAGTGTTGATTCGTTGCATAAGCTTTCAAATATTTTTAATTCTGGAACGAAGCAAGTAAACAGTGGGTTATAAACAATTGAATGCACGACTGAATTAAAAATACGAATATTTAACATTTGTTGATCATTTTCATCCATAAAAGTGTTGTCAAATGTACTTCACATGCAACAATCTAATATTACATTGAAATAATTCCACGCGTGGAATTATTCCATTAATTTCATTTGTTGTTAACAGAAATTTAGGTTCGTTCATTGGATGTATTAATGTTCGTCGCGGTTTTCGTGGAATCTGAATATGTTTCTTAGTACTATTTTTAACGTTAATAGTTGTAAAGTTGAATTGTTACGTTTAACAAATTTTGATTGATTAGACATTAATGGCTATGAGGAGTTTATTCGACTTTGTAAAGTACTTACAAATGGAAACGAGGTTTCAACGGCTGATTCTGTAGGTTAAGACAATAATTAGGTTGTCAATACATCAGTGACAGCGAAACGCGTGTCAGAAGAATGTATTGGTTAGATCATTCTTTCTTTTCGTTTTCTATCGAAATGAACGAACGAACGCGATCGCATTGATCTCCGAGGGAGCCTCGATCGTCGCTTTCGTTCGTTAATCGACGTTTTATGGATCGAACGATTTGCGTAAGCTGCTTATGGCGAGTGCCATCTCAGAGAAAACGATGCGTTTCGATTTTTATCATAATACGACGAATCGTTGACTGGCAACAGTGACATAATTGAAGCTCTATAAATTTAGGGATCCGACTTTACAAATTTTTAATACGAAATAAGAGATTCGAAACCTTCTAAGTGTTTCTAAACTTAGTTTCTTTTAGGCGAGTTTTAATCATTTTAGAACTTAAGTCGAGGGATTTATCCTTCGTAGAAGTGAATGTTGATTGGAATAGACCAATTGTTAAATTTCATTGTAATTCCTCGAAGCGATATTATTTGAATTATTCTCGTGTTAGTTCGCAGTAATAGTCTTTAGTCTTTCAACTTTCAGCTTCGAAACTTGTCGCTTCTTTCTACATATCAAACGAATTCGAAGACTATGGGAATTTCAATCTTCCATATCTAATAAATTAGTTTTTATCCAACACAAGATTTCAAGATATATATTCAACGTTAATCTTCGATCTTGACACATTTCTCTACATATCACTCTAAATTTAAGAACTTTAGTGCATAGAATTTCAAAATTCTATTTTATACATTGTATATTGCTATTGAACGTTAATATTCCAAATTTACTGCATTTTTCTACGTTCTAATTAAATTTCAAGATTGTCACGATCCGAAAGGGAAACGTTATTCTTCCAACCTTAAAAGTCACTTCTTTATTCGAACGTTTTACCCTTTTACCGACACAATTGACGAAATTCAAGCTTTCAATTGAATTAGAGTAGACTTTGAATTGAATATTGTAATAATTGGTGGAATAATTTAGAAATATCAGAAATTACGTTCACGAAAATGCTGATAGATTTAAAGTAGACCAGCCAATCGATGATTCGTCGACGTGTCCCTCGTTTCTCTGTCATATTATCAGCGCTTACGGTTGCATCACACATTCCAGTATGGATGAAAGCGACGTTGCCGACGATTCCGAGTTGGTGTGCGACGAGTGGAGAGCTCTTCTTTTTTTTTTCTAAATAATTTAGATCACACGTAGCGCGTAGGGGACGGAGAGCGTGTGAGTGAAACGGTATACATTCCGGTACGGTGTAGGACGACATTTTGTACATTCGTGTAAAGTATCTCGATGCCAGTTTAGATACCGCCTAACGTAAATTTCCGAGTGTATAATTCCGAGTGTATGTGCGAGAATAAATAATTTGCAGAGTGCGTAGTCTTGTATCACGAGTCCATTGTGGATTCGTGCAACCCTTTGGTGTCCAGCATTATTCTTGGAGATACGAATTGGTCAGTTGTTTTTCTAATGGAAAATTATTCAAAGTGAAACAATTTTTGTGAGTATAATTGTTGAAGGAATAATAAGGTCAAGGGGTTAATGAAGAAGGAAAATAAGATTATGTCAGTGAAATAGAAATGGATAGTTGTTATGTGTATCTTTAGAGTGTTGTGATTATATGATGGATGTTTGTATAAGTTTAATAATCCATTAATCTATTAAGTGAAATTTTAATAATTTAATCATTGGTGGAAATGGAATTTAAATGGTATCTCGATATTCTTTACAATTTCAATTAAATAGTGACACAGATTAAATATGCATTAGATGCAGTTGAAATTGTAATTTCAATTAAATTGTATGTTTTCAAAAACTAATTGTAAAATGGGGAAAAGTTAGTTTTTATTTTTGGCTTATTCTTTTATGTGAATAGTGAAGCCATTTATGGGACACCCTATGTTTCTAGATGTTTGTGATAGTAGTTTTATAAATATCAGACTTGGGATAGGAATTCTATGAATAGAACAAAATCAATGGGCCATTTAAGGTTATTGTCCCCATCAGATAGTTGAACTACTCTACAATTGATGCCCTATTCTTCACGTGAGAATTTTTATATCATTCACAAAGCAGGTTGTTTGGTACAGTACAGAAATAGAACGTTTCTATAACAGCATTAGAAAAGCTCTATAAGAATATAGTTCCATTTCAATCTCTCTTCTATTCCCCTACTTCTTAGACAGCAAATCTTATTTTAAATTTAAGGATTGTTAAAAATTATATTTTACTGGAAACATCAACAGTTTTCTCATTAAAGAAATAAATGTCCCTTTGCCTATATTAAAATAACAATTTAAAATACATCCATGGTGCAATAATATCATTACTAAAAATCATTATAGTTCCCATTTTATTCAGTTTTGTAAATATAAATATAAAATCATTGCAAAACAATTCTTAGTTACATCGAAGAACTTTTTATATTCGAAAATAAAACGTGTATATCCGACAAAAAAATTTACATATCGAACATTCAAAAAATGGTTGAATTTCTCCTGATTCCATAATACAGAGTTCCATGAAATGGCTCCCCTCTATGAAAGGACACTGAAGGGTTGATTACCGAGATTCCATTGACGTAGTCTGCAGACGTCAGTGCGTGCCAACGAAATCACGAATGCCGCTGCCAGCGCGTGGAACATTGCGTAATATTCCAACGTGTCTCGATTCATTCGCGAATCATTTATCCTGCGATCCGCACGCTGATTTTCCGCAGCATTTCACATATCCAAAAAAAAGAGGGGAAAAAATGGTATTGTATTAGAGATTCGTAGAATGTGACGAGCGTACTTGGAGACACCGTTTTTTAGTTCGATTCGAAAATATTCATCGAGACAATATTGTACCAGCGTATTTTTTGACAGATTGATTGTTCTCGACGAGTGCCAATTAATGGCACAACTTACGGTCGACCGAATTCAGGATTTCGCGAGCAGTTCTGCTGCAACGATGCGAAACCGAGGGGCGTAAGCGTGCGGAAAAACCGTATTGTGAAGAATGAAACGCGACAAATGTCGTGGCGAAGATTTCTGTAGCATTGAAACAAATGTACATTGCTGTTCGAGGTCATTCCCTCAAATTTATTCATTTTAAAATGGATTGTTATATGTTTCTTTTGGGTCAGTAAGGTTTGAGAGAGTGTTGAATAGTTTCTTTTGGTAGAGATGATTGAGACTGATTGAATAAATCGAACAGTTGATTTTGCAATTTATATTTTAGAAGATATTTATATGTCAAGATGGTAATATTTAAATTTGGTAATCATTAGTTTAAAATCATGATACACAAATATTTCCATTTCGATTCGTGAATATTGTCTGAAGTATGAATTGTATAATAAATTTGTTCCATGTGTTGTAATGGCTTATTTGATATTACTGTCATTAATTACTTTAGAATTAATAGTTCTTATTAAAAATCACCTTTTTCGAAAATTATTCCTCAACTGAGGTAACAAAATTTAATTATTCTGAAGCATTAGATACAACAAAATATTCTTGAATCAAAATTGTGAAAAAATGTAACTAATCTCAAGTCCTACGCTTCAAAAATTGTATAACTTCGAATATAGAAATTAATTATCCTCCATATAAGTTACACGAAGAATATTTCTAAACAAAAAAAGGAATAAAAATATTGACATTCTCAAGCGACCAACAAGCAATTTAGAAAATGGGAATCGCTTATTGAATCAATTACAAAAAAGGGTTAAATATTGTGATGGGAACGGTGACCTTGAACAGCCAATTAACTTCGTCGCGACATCGATGTTCATCGTTCTAGACATTTAATCAAAATCTTTCGCGTTTCCTGGCACGCGTTCAGCAAGAACAAGGCCGTGGATATTTCTCCCTTGGAAAACAAGGGGAAATACGACACGGGCGACCAATGATGGCCGCGATTTCATCACGATTAATTAAGAATGGGAGAAAACTTAGATTTTAAGGTGGTGTAAGATTCTTTTCTTCGAAGTACCGATGAACGGACGAATGGAATTCAACGAGAACGTTTATACAGATAAAAAATATATATGTATATATATACATATATATAAATATATTATATATATTATATATATATAAGACATTTTCTACATTTGGTAAGGATGTTGCATATCGCGAGAAACGGAGATACAATGATGATGATAAGAGATATAACAGACAGCCGAGCGACGCTGGTCGCACGTTAATTAATGTAATATCGAACGTGCCTTATTTCCTGTATATATGAATATTATTATCACTATTATCATTACTACGAACCTCTATCGTAACGTGCAAGTATTTGTGTTGAAATAAATCGATGTTGTTTTATGTTACTCATGGAGATCAATCTGTTATTCACACTATACAATTCTTCCATTTCCTGGATGAACGGAAGCTAATGAATTTGTTTGGAAATGAACAATTCTGTTGTAAATAAATACCAACCTCTTTTAGGTGACGAATTTTTTAATATTTCTTTTACTGTACCCATAAACTGTTGAAGTTATTGGCATTCTTGAGCAAATCTGTTAATTTCCTTCGACACTGGATTATTTATAGTTAATCGTAAGTAAGTAATAAATAAAGTTTCCTTACGCTGAAAATAGAAAACCGCGTAAAGTAATGCAAGATAATGAAGTATCGTAAAAGAATTTTAGTTATAAATATGATCATATTTCTTGCTTACCTTAAAAATAGAAAAAATCAATGACAATGTGTAACAATGAAAATGATTTATTATTTTAATCATACATTTTTCGTTTCGAAACAATGTTAACATACCAATAAATCTGTCAAAAATAGATTCATTTAATTATAAATCGAATGAACGATTTTAATGACTCTAAATCAGAGAAATTAATTATTAAAATTTTACTCTGACATTACGTATCCCCGGCAGAAGATTGAGAAATTTATGGAACAATTAAACCGTGCATGAAAATGATTTTTCATACTCATTTTCCTTTGCACACCGACACAATTATTGTTCAAACGCCATGGACCCTTTCGACGCGCCTGATCTGCATAATTGCACACGGTATTCAATCGAGAGTTCACCATGAAAGTCGGTCATGACATAGTTCCAATCAACCTTGAACTATTTCGGTCTGACCATAAATTTCCGTTCCTACTTCGGCGTTGCCCTACTCCAGCTAATTCTTGATAAACCGATAAACCGGGGGAATCGATATTCAATGAGTCGGTCAATTTAATTTCATTTTAAATGAAACGAATATATTTCTTTTTATTTTATTCGAGATACAAACTTAATTGTACCTTCGACATTTATTCAGACTGCAACCTAGAAACTTGTGTGGAACAATTTATATAATTTTTTGATTTTCAAACGCCCGGTGCGTGTATCGAGCCGTTTACCAATTATCGAGGGGCTGCTACGGAAACCAAAACGAAATGGTTCGTTATTCTCGCGCATGCGTGGTTCAGCCACGGGACGTTCCTCGCCTAGGGAATAACATCGAGGACACGTCTTCCATTCGGAAGTTTTTGAAAAAAAAAATCCTGCACGTGTTCCATTATAATGTAAATCATCTGATCCTTCTGTATGATGTGCACTGAATTTTAAAAATTTTATATTTTAAAGGAATATTCTTTTGAATTAAAATCAATTGCAGGGGAAATGGGAAGGAACTAACATATAGTGTTATAAATAAATAACAGTGAAATATCGAAACTGTTTTAAAAAGTTCATGAAAACATGTATTATGAAGGTAGTATTATTTGTCTTCTAGTAAAAAATAGTATTATCGAATTGCTAAGAAGACTTTCACCCTTTTTAAGTGAGTTTAAGAATTAATTTGCATATAGTGCACGCAAATGTCATATTGAAACTGCAAACAGAAGACATTTTAACTAATCTGGAATTCACTTTTTTCATATACGATTAATATTATTTTAATTGTAACTTGTAGTTCTAGATATAATCCTGTATCACTCAGTTGATTTATAGTTTATCAATTTTTCTAAGAACACTGACCTTTGGACATATAAAAATATCCAAAAATTTTTAGAAATAAATCCATCAAATAGAATAAGAAATTAAGATAAAAATTTTAATTAATTTACTTGTGGAAATATGAAGCATCTTAGGTTCTAAACAAGCCCAAAATGAAATATTTATAAAACAATTCCAAAAAGTACAAAATTTCGATTTTCCTAAGAATAACATTCACCTGTGACAAAAAGGACGACAATTTCCAACGAATTCGTATATTCCGAATTTCCATTTATGTAAAAAAATTCCAAAGTTCGGATATCAAAGTGTAAGGGAACGGTAATCAAATTACACGGGTTCTAATAAAAGAAAATTTTCTTCGATCAAATTTCTTGCGCCATTTCCCTCAACTTCCAGCCGGGATACCAACTTGTTGCAGGGCCGAATGTTATTGATTAGTAGAGAAAGGCGGTCTAGAATGGAGGGAGACGGGACTCCCCCTACAGACATGAATGGTTGTGGTCCACAGAGCCAGATTTTGAGCTTGACCCGGATTCGTCACGGTGGAGTTCACGTTACCTTCACTTTCGTTGCCCAAGTTGTAACACGATGTGAAAAACCGTATGAGATGTGGAATACCTGCATATCCATACTCGTTAAATATCTTGCGAATAGTTTCATGACAGTCAACATATTCTCGTCGACTTGTTATAACAAAATTAATTACAGAATATTTTGACTGTTCCATCTTCCAGAAGAGTTCTTAGAAAATGGCAGTATGATTCTTAGATAGCAGATTATAGAAATTAGATTTTTATAAAATAAAGTAATATATAAACGTAAGAATTAAATAATACTTTTTAGTCGAACTATTTCATCGAGTTCAAGCCGAAATGAAAATTTAAAAATTGATTTTTCAATCTTTTTAGAAGTATTTGAATTAATTAGCATATCGTTTTATATTATACTTTTAATGTATCTTATATATAACGCAAAATGGAATTTTATTAAACATTTTCATCTACATAAATCTACTTAAAATTAGTTTAAAACAGCCATACATAATCTCAAGTAAAACCGAACCCTTTGCCACATAACATCAACCTCAACTATCAAATTGAACGTAGTAATCATAAATATTATACTACTCCCACAAAACAAATCAAAAACCCTTTTACAATTGCAAATATTCAATATTTTCAAAAGATACAACCCTCTCACCCCTAAAACCACTAACAATTCCAATCCAAACTAACTACTAACAAAACACCCTTCCCAATGAAAATAACTGAACAACAAAAATCAACAAATAAACTCCAGAAAACAAACTCTCCATCAACCCGAAAACTTTCTCCTTCCAACCTCTTTCAGCCCTTCGAAATGATCGATCTCAAATTAACAATTCCAATCCAAAGTTACTACTAAAAAAACACCCTTCCCAACGAAAACAACCGAGCAGCAAAAATCAACAAAGAAACCCCAGAAAACTAACTTCATCAACCCGAAAACTTTCTCCTTCCAACCCCTTTCAGCCCTTCGAAATGATCGATCTCGGGTTACGCCGAGGATGCCCGTAACTAGGTGACATTTAAAAATCCACCGGCAGGAAAGGGAGAGGTCCTTCGTAGGAGGCTGCGGGGTCGTACGGGCGCAGCCGGCGGGTTTCACCCCCGGCGAGCGGGCCGCGTGTGCGCAGTGAGGGTCGCCTGGCCTCAGGGAGTGGACAGGCCGCGCAGTCGACTCGTTCTGCCCCAAAATCGAGCAACGTTTTCGTATTCCGCACGCGAGCACCATTCACGAGACCCGAACGATCTTGAAAACCACCCCCGGCGCGTGCACTTCTTCGAAAAACACGGGCTAAAGAAAGGGAAAAGAATCGAGTTCGAGTCCGCGTGTCGCCGAAGCTGAGTCTCCGCAAGCGAGGAGTAGGAGATCGTCGTCGTTGGAAACTCGGTCGCGAGCAGGCGTGTCTCTCGAGAAAATTATCGCTCGGTCGGGGTGGCCCTGAAAGCAACAGGGGTGATCGTTGCTGCTTAGCAGGGGTGGTTCGCGGGAGATCATCTTCGTCGGAGACTCTTTGTGCTTCGGACACCGTTTTCGGACGTTTTCGTTGATTCTATAGTTTCGTTTCTCATTGCCTGGGTTTATCATTGAGATCGAGTTCGAGATGTTTTAAGGGTAGCCGCGAAGGGGATATTGTTCACGACCAGCGTGGTGGATTATGCGTGATCGTGGAAGCGTGGAAGTGAGGTAAAAGTGTTTTTTCGGGGCAAACGCGACCCGCCGAGCGAGGGGGCTCCGGGATCCGAGCAACAGGTAATTTACCCCTTCTGCGGGGCACCCCTTTCGTCGATCTTTCTTTCGAGAGTGACCCCGTTCTCCTCTTTTTTTTTCTTCTTT